TTCTGTGATTCTGTGATTCTGTGATTTTCATGCCTCTGTCAGCACACTATGGCAGCCATCATATACCCACCTTGGTTGGGTGCTGACCAACACGTACTCCCCACTTCAGTGACAGGAACAAGAAGGGGGGACCTATCAGTCAACAAACAGGTTCCCCAGCCAATGAGACACCTCCAAAAGCTCCTCTGGACCACAGTCAATAGTTGACAACAGACCAGATCTGACCAGCCCATGGAGGTCTGTGGTGGAGCAGATATCCACCATGCAGCCCATGGAGAACCCCATGCTGGAGCAGGTGGATGTGCTTGAAGGATATTATGACCTCATAGAGAGCCTGTGCTAGATCTGGTAGGACCTGTGGCCCTGTGGAGAGGAGGCCACACTGGAGCAGTTCTTCTGGTAGGACCTGTGGCCCCATAGAGGACCCATGCTGGAACAGCCCATTCCTGAAGGTCTGCACTCCATGGAAAGGACCCATGCTGCAGAAGTACACGAAGAACTGTAGCACGTGGGAAGCACCCATGTTGAAGAAACTTGTGAAGGACTGTCTCCTGTGTCTCCCATGCTGGAGCAGGGGAAGAGTATGAAGAGGAAGGAGAGGCAGAGAAAACGTGTTATGAAATGACTGCAACCCCCATTCCCTGTCCCCCTGCACTGCTCAGGGAGGAGAAGGTAGAGAAGCCAGGAGTGAAGTTGAGCTCAGGAAGAAGGGATAGGCTGGGGGACATTGTTTTCTAAGATTTGGTTTTATTTCTCATTATCCTACTCTGATTTGATTGACAATAAATTAATTTCTCCAAATCAAGTCCGTTTTGCCTGTGGTGGTAATTGCTGAGTGATGCCTCCTTGTACTTATCTCAACCTATGAGCCTTTTGTTGTATTTTCTCCCTCTGTCCAGTCGAGGAGGAGGAATGATAGAGCAGGTTTGGTGGGCACCTGGTGTCCAGCCAAGGTCAACTCACCAGACTGCCTGTGTGTAAGCATGAGTTTTATGCCCCAGTTACAGACAGTAGAGAAGAGGATGTCATAAACTTGCCTGAAGATCGACTTCTGTTGCTGCTTGAGATGCCACCTCACATCTTCCCTCATCTTCAGCTAATTCAGGAGGGTGTGAGAATTCCATAAATCCCATACTCTGATAGCCCCATGGGGACTCAAATTGCCTTAGGCTTCCACATTTGGGCAGCTGAATCTCATTCTTGACTCCCATTTCTTAAGTCAAACTAACTTTACCAATTGCTTACATGTAAGCAGTTGTTCCTGAGTTTTCTAGCATCCAGTATGTGATCTGTGGAGTTCACCCTTATCACTTAACATTTCTTACAAGCAGACCTCCAAAAAGTCTACTTTCATTTCATATCTCACAATCTGATTGCCACTAATAATTTTCTTACTTTGTATAAAATTTGCATTGATGTTCTTCTTAGACCAATGTTATTATTAATCATAAATGAACACACCACAAATGCAACATATACTGAAATAAATCCATGTTTCTTTAGTACAGGTAAAATGAAATAAAATTGTAATATTTGACAAGTCTTGGATTTTACAAAATTAGTTTGCAGTACAAGATGAATCCCTAAGAAGTACTTCAGAGACTATTTCTTTCTTGACCATGGTTATAAAAAACTGATATTACTTATTTTTCGTTCCTCTCTGCTTTCACATCCTCTGTGATTTGCTAAATTATGAAACTTCTCCTGGCCCTGTGGAAGAGTGTCACAGTGAGGGTAATGTGCTTTACATTCATGCAGGCCGTACTCCCAACCATTTGCCATCAGAGCCTGGACAGAAAAATGGGTACAGGTTCCCAGAAAACTCAAAAGAAAGAGACTCAAGAAGGCACTTTCCTTCAGCATCAAAGAATGAAAGTGTGTTAAAATCCTGATCCAGGAAAACACCTACCACGCTGCAGGGCTTGCTATTTCTTCTACCTTTCCCACCAGTTAAGCTGTATTCTCCCTTAGAAAACCGTAGACTGAGTAAATTCCCCTTTGGTAGAGTATTCATCATGTTGCTTCTCAGTGTATTCCTGATTTCCTCACACACCACCCCCAGCTCCCACTCTGATTTCTCCCGCACCTCCACTTCCCAGTAATGTTTCATTTCTGAAAACCCTTCAGTAGCTACCACCATCTCTCTGGGCAGGATTGCTTCCTGGGTGGAGGACATGACTCTGTTTTTCTCCTTAATGGTGAGGTTGGGATGTTTGCAGTTCTCATCCAGAGTGATATTAACTTGAGAAAGGAAGATTTAAAAAAGGAAAAGAAAAAAAAACACAAAGCACCAAGTTATTTCTCATTTTCAGGAAAATAAACAGTATTCTGAAAGAAAGTGAATAAATGAGACAAATTATAAAACAAAACAAAACCAAAACCAAAACAAACAAAAACCAAACCAAACCAAAACAAACCACCAACACAAAAAACCCAGCCTAAATACTCCCAGAATCTACAATGTGATTTTGTTGGAGAAAAATCAATAACAAAAAATCTAATAATCTCCCATAGGGCATGCCTGTTCTCTAGCTTTGCTATTCATTTTCACTGACTGAGGGGATCCAGGCTGTCTGGTCAGACCCATCTGGTAGATGCATTTTTTTTTAACAAAACACAAAGCCAAACCTGTCAAAGCATGTAAAAAATGTAATATGCAAAAATGTCCTAGTTGGTACAGAAATTATTCACTTGTGACACTGAGAATTGTAGATGGGAAATGCCTAAGAAAATCCGGATGCCTGTTTCAATCAGCAGGCTGCAAAATTTCCACAAGTTCTGTGAGTTTTTCAAAACACTAGGGCTAGACTCTGGTATGTGCATGAAAGAAAATGAGGTCAAGATGTGGCTTACCTGCATTGCTATGAGCTCTCCTGAACTCTACAAGAAAAAAAAAGGGATGATTAATTAAAATTAGTGCAAAATGTGAATACACCTAATTTTAGTACAGGATAAGGTTGGAGTGGGATAGACATAATAAAATTAGATTTCAGCTTTCGACTCACCCAGTTCTTTCTGTACTTTGTCTGAAAAAGACAGAAAGTTATATTAACTTTACGCATAGCAAGGCTCTTCTGAAGGATATCTGTGCAAGTAAGAGTATTTCCAATACGACGTTTCCTAAATATGACCTGGCCTAGGATTTCAGACTTTGTCAGAAGAAAAATAAGACCTTCACTTGGCCAACATATAGAAGTATATATTTTTTTCTCTTATTTTCAAAAATATTGGTTTGTTGGCAGGAAGAAAAATGTGTTTTCTACTTAGCTAAAGGAAAAATTAAACACGTAAAGAAGTGAAATTATGCTCCCCTGTTATGGAAACATGTTCTGGAGTCCAGCATTGTGTCAGACACACACTGGTTTTAGGGACAGCTAAGTCTTGAATAGAAATAAGTGCGGCAATAGCCCTCAAATGGCGGCACAGTTCAGTTTCAAAATGATATTTCTGATCAGAGTTAATTCTAATTATTTTTAAGGACCAAAGTTAACTTACTATCCTTACCAATTTTGTACAACATATCCTGATTTTCTACAAAGAAAAAGAAATAAATTAAAAGTTAGGATGACTGAATCAGGCAAATTATGGTACAGTCACTATGCAATTTGGAATAATTTGTAGGTTATCTATGTCTATAGGATTAATCTGTTTGTTAACCTGATTATGTATGTATTTTTATATATTAATACACACATAGGATTAATCTTATATCTCTGTAGAATAATTATATTCTACATAATAATTAGACATGCATTAGACATTATTAGACATGCAGTATATAACTTTTCTCTGGTATTAAATAACATGTTGCACAAATATTCCTGAAGACAAGACATGATAAAACAAGTAAAGGAACATACTAGAAACAATCAGGGAGTGATTCAGAAAAAATAGAGCTATTTACAGTTCATAGAGCATCATAAAACCCACCAGGGAGGGTAGGAGCGAGTGAGAGAGCTGTGTGGTGTTTAGTTGTTTGCCAGGTTAAACCACAACAATGTTCAACAAGAATTGAACTGGGATTTTTTCCTATTGTGTTCTTTTTAATGCTGTAATCAGATGCTTTAGTCATTAGTTTCTTCTGAGATGCAATAAAATTAAAAAATAAGTTCTTTCTAGCAGTGGAAAATATCTGCAAATATCTGTATATACTATCTTTTGCTATACAGATATATACCTATAGATAAAAAGAGAGAGATTGTGTGTGCACATAAAAATAGCACAACTTTTCAATCGACTTTCTGGTTAGAATAGGGGAGTTAACCTTTGCAAATGTGAAGTTCTGAGAGTGTTTTCCAACTCTGGCATTCAAATTTGCATAGAACAACATTATTTTATTCAAACAATCACCTGCAAAACATCTCTCAGGGTATGGTTAAAAGAATAACATATGGTACCAAATGCAGTGTAGGGAGAAAAAAGTTACAATACCTTTATTGAAGCTCTCCTTTTCCTCAGCTGAAAATAAAGAAGTAGTAGAGAATGTTATACTTTTCCAAGACAAAACCATACAAAATGTGAGCATTTCAATGTTAAAGGATGTTTTCAATTAGGGAACTGAGCTTTGGCTTTAAATTCAGAATATAATTTCAAAATAGATGGGGGATAAATTGTCTAGATTATTAGCTTAGATTAAATACATAAAACTCAGTGGCTAAAATCATGTGACATTGAAGATAACAATACCAAATAGCACTAATTTAATTGAAAACCCTAGCTTTGTAATAGGAGAACAAGTTTCAATATAACAAAGATTTCAAAGTACATTCTTACCCAGTTCCTCATTGAGTTGATCTATCTCTGGAAGAGATCATGCTTCAATATTAAAACACTATTTCCTTCTTTTATTTTAAATACAAATACATTGAATTTTCTCTCTGTTCCATGTTGTGTACAGCAAGAGCTAAGATGAAATGGAATTATTTGAGATTCATCAAAATAGCCAGATGTCCCTTTGCAGCCAATGCTATTGCCTTCATTATGCTAGTATCTTTCCTTAAGGTGGGAACAAAAAGACTGGTCAAAAAATTCACCTTGGTAAAATGAAGTACTTCAGATGACTGAACTTTTTCATACTCTAGAACTTAATTCTTACTTTTCTTACTTCAGATGACTGAACTTTTTCATACTCTAGAACTTAATTCTTACTTTTCTTACTTCAGATGACTGAACTTTTTCATACTCTAGAACTTAATTCTTACTTTTCTTACAGGTTGAAATTCAGCCTGAAACATGATCCCAAATTAAGAACATATTAACATACCCAAATTAACCAACAGAACAACTTACAAGCTCAAATACTGAGCAAAAAATACCTGCCATGGATATTTTCATAGGTATTTCAACTTTTCCATGGAATTAGTCCTCTTCTTTCCAGTAGGCATTGATTATCTTTACATGTTCAATATAAAAAGTATTGTAATGATTTTTAAATTTATTTTATTTTTGCAAAAGCAAACCAGCTACTAATAGCTCCTGAGCTCAGCGTTTAGGTGGTTCTAAAGGACTAGAAAGATTTATAGCTAGAAATCACTGAAAAAAATGGTTGTTACACTTACCTTTTTGAATTTCCTTCTGTGCATTTTCTGTGAACAGAGAAACACTTTCATGTCCTAAAAATAGTTCTTCAAGCACTTAACATCCTATTTGAAACGCTACACAGAAGTGATTAATCCACAACAATTTGTATGTATAATTTTACGCATATATTTGCATGTATATATACATACACTTACATTATTGAATACTAGATAGCTAGACTTCGAAGGTAAATAATTTTTAATAGGCTCAGTTTGGTCAAGTACAGTACAGGCATTGACTGAAACAAAAAAATAGTTAATAAGTTAAGTCAGTTTGTTGTTACATTTGAAACAAAAATACAGGTAGTAAAATTCTGCAAAATGGAAGAGAATTGTTTCAGGGAAGACTGGATGTGAATTTTAATAAAAGCCTCCATAGATTTGTTCCCACATACCTTTTTTTTTCTTTTTTTTTTTTTTTTTTTTCAATTCACAATCATTTTTGTTTCTATGTAAATTTCTGAATTAGTTCCTGGGTAGCAAATTCCTGGACTTGATGGTCTTACAGGTCTTTTCCGATCTTAATGATTCTATGATACAACAGCTTGGGGAACAGTCAAAAAGTCATTTTTCTGGAAATGGTAAGCTTTTAGATAGATAGTGGGGCGGGAGGAAGAGAACTCGTGAATTTTTTTGCACAAAAGGTGACTTGCACTAGAAGTTATTTTATCACTTCTTTCAACACCTGCAGACAGAAAAGCTGAGGTTAAATGGGATGCAAGAATTTCCTCATTTCTCAGTCTTTCTGTATTGGCTGTGCATGAGGTGACTGACCCCCAAAGGCACCCTAGCTGGAGTCTAGAGGTAAACAGGGTCAACCAAAGTCCCAATCTCTTGAAATGTCTGTCATGAAACAACTTCAGGTGCACGACTAATTAACCCCATGGTTTATATTGCTGGCCAATATTTCTACCATTGCACATAATGATTCAAGATGTCCATGATGAAATATGATATTAATATGACTTTTAAATATGGCATTAATATGACTTACGTTCACGAGTAGTTGTCTTATTGTTCTCTGAGAGAGACAGAAGGAGAAAAGAGAGGCAGGGAGAAGCAAAATGTTATCTTACTTTCTTCTCACTTGTAGGTTTTCAAATGAAATCTTTCATATTTTATGGTGGTCATGTTTGGTAAGGAAGAAGCTTATTTTCAGAGTATCATGGTTTGCATGTACCTATATCTTCCATTAAAATAATGACAAATCATACAGAATTTAATGAATGAAGCTGTGATACTGAAAGCAGAAAAATGCTGCCTTGGCAAGCTGCCTTGGCAACAAATTTGTGTTGTAAAACTGTATTAGTTGCAAAATAGCTTATAAAGCAATAAAATTACTTGCAAATAATTAAGCCAGTGGATATATCTGGGTAAACTAAAATTTTAGTTATTCACAGGAATTGCTTTATTTCAATAGCAAGATTAATTTGCAGTAATAATTTCACTAGAGTAATATGTCAAATCATATTGGTAAAATGCAATTATACAGGTTTATACCCCAAGATGTTGGAGTAGTTAAGAGATGCTTGAAAACGAATATGCAAGGAATGCAAAAGTACAAAAAAAAAAGCCATGGTTGAAGAATTACAAGGGTGATTGTTCATAATCTTGTATCCTCCTCCCCAAATAATTCTGAACAATAATAATTCTTGTCTTTCAACTGGATTTTATGAAGCATACATCACTCTAACATCAAGAGTGTAACTTACTTCTGAGCTTATAAATTGCAGCAATAACCAGGAATATGCTCAAGAGCAGGATCACGACAAAACCTGCCAGCCAAGGGGAGGTGGCAGGAAAGAAGACATCTGCAAATTATTTCAGATTATCAGTTTTAACTTTCCTCGAACTCTCAACTTTATACTTTGATTACATACCTAAAGTGAAACAAAAGTAATTTGAATCTAAATTTCATTCCTATACACCTGAAGAGGGAGTTCACTGGGACTTTTACATTGCCAGTCTATTTTATAAAGCACCATCAGTGATTTGTGTAAACCACTGCATTAGATCAATGGAAAGAGAAGAAAATGAGAGACAAAGATGGAGCATCCTCCATCCTTGCAAGTGAAAATTAGCACCACCTGACAAGATTTCATTTCCCCCAGATGGTATCACACCCCTGGAAGGGTGCTTTTATTCTTAATATGTTAACAATGTTTGGGAGTTTCCCATGGAAACTAATTGTGGTTCTGTGCAAAGACGAAGTATCACACAACAAAACTTCTGTGAAAACTGATTATTCCACTAGAAATTTGGGGTCCTGAAGCAATCCACTATGCATGCATCGGCTCACTGGTTTTCCTCCCAGGTCACAAGGACACAAGCTTATACTCACCTGCAATGACAACTGAAGATTCTGTTGATGTTTTCAACAGTTTATCAATTATTTTGCAGGACACAGAGTTTCCAGACCCTGGTTTTAGAATGATGGTGCTGCTGGCATTAGCAGTGGTGGTGTTGGTGGTTAGAGGTGTCCCAGTGACATTGTCTCCTCTACCATCTGTCCACAACACCTGAACTTCAGAAAACAACCTCTCAGAGAAACATTTGAGTCGAATACCATCATTCTCATACCCATCCAAGACAAGCAGTGGATCATGGCCACCACCTACAGAAGAAAGACATAAACAGGTGAGCTGTGATCAGCAATTGTAGTGGTTTTAAAGGCTAAAGGGGAAGAAGTCTGTGAGAAGTTTTGCATTTATGATGCTCAGTAAGTGCTTTTTGCACTGAAATTGCAGCCCTTATTCTACAGCATTAGCACATACTCTCACAGCTCTGATGAGCAGCAGGAGCTGCAAATTTGAGGATGGAGAAAAGTACATAGATGCATTTGAAACAAAGAGCCATCCATTCTGAATTGCAAGCATCCAGCACTGCCACACATTATGCAAATCAAAATTACCTATCACCTCCCTTTGTAGTGGTGACAACATTAAGTTATCTATGTATGTTCATCTAACCAAATTTTAGCCACCTAAAAGTCAAATATCCTGTTGAGGCAATAATCTTCTGGAGAAAGCGTGAAGAAACTGCATTCCCTACAGAGGGATTCATTCCCTGGGAAAATGGGAATCTGACATAAATTAATTATATTATGGTCTGGGACAGCCAGTCATCTCCTATTGACTGTATACATACCTTAATCAAATATCTTTTAGATGCTTAATTTTAATACCTACAGCTGAGCACACTGAATCCCATAACACACATCTGTGTTCACATGAAATCCAGAGAAATCATCTAAACCTGGACCTCCTTCAGGGGAGAAGAAAGTCATACGGGGCATCAGTTCAAATCTATTCATAATCTCTCAAATGGATGTAATACAGAGTGTAATTAATCCATAACTGAGCAAAATTACCTGCCGTGGGATGGTGTGTAGATACCAATACCAAGATGAAAATGACTGCTGTCAGCTGGACGGAGAAACCCATGTCTATGTGGAAGACAAAAGTCTATGTTTGAATGCAAAATAAATGAAGTTGTGTGCTGCACAGTTGAGTCACACCATTCCTAGGTTCACTCTAACATCTTGTTGCCTGTTTACACGTGCTACTCACATGCTGCACCCCAGATGAACCTGGGGAGCAATTCAACAGCCAAAGAAGTCCTATGAGTGTTCTCATGGTCTGTATGGAGACACTCCAATACTAATAATAGTCAATGGTTATGAAGGGAGCAATTCCTGAACTGGACAGAAATGTAGTAGTACTCATTAGTAGTACTAGCAAAAGGAATTGGGGTGGCTCCTTGGAGTTAATGGCAAAGAAACTATGGATACAAAAGCTCAGAACATAAATTCTGCCTTAAATAAATAAATACAAAATAAGAACACATTGGTAATTTCTAAATTAAACATTTCACTTTGGAATTACTGTAACAATTTTTTCCTTAATTATTTGTAATGAAAGCAGAAATAAAAGTTTCTAAATTAACCAGGAGTTTAAAGCAGAATTTTCCAATATTTGTGTAACTAAACCTACTTTTTCTCTCTCTACATGTATTGATGTAAAAACATATATAAATATATCTATATTATACTATAACAAACATGACTCAAACAGAGAAAAAAAGGAAGATCTTCATTTGACTTTAACCAAGCAAAATATAATAAGCTCGGCTTTGAAGGGCACCAAATGTCCAGGTAAGTAATGGATTTACTTCTCTCCTCCCCACCACACACTTTTTTGCAATAAAGAATGGAATCACAGAACCACAGAATCACAGAATATTAGGAGTTGGAAGGGACCTTGAAAGATCATCTAGTCCAATCCACCCTGCCAGAGCAGGACCACCTAGACTAGGTTGTACAGGAACACATACAGGCAGGTTTTGAATGTCTCCAGAGAAGGAGACTGCACACCTCTCCGGGCAGCCTGTTCCAGTGCTCTGTCACACTCACAGTGAAAAAGGTTTTCCTTAGGTTCACATGGAACCTTTTATGCTCCAGCTTGCACCCAATGCCCCTTGTCCTATTAGTGGACATCACTGAGAATGCCTGGCTGCATTCTCCTGACATTTGCCTTTTACACAGTAATAAACATTAATGAGGCTACCCCTCAGTCTCTTCTTCTCCAAGCTAAAGAGACACAGCTCCCTCAGCTGCTCCTCATAAGGGAGATGCTCTACTCCCTTAATCATCTCTGTGGCTCTCTGCTGGACTCTTTCAAGCAATACCTTGTCCTTCTTGAACTGAGGGGCCCAGAATTGAACACAATATTCCAGATGCGGTCTCAGCAGGGCAGAGCAGAGGGGAAGGAGAACCTCTCTCGACCTACTCACCACACCCCTTCTGATACACCCCAGGATGCCATTGGCCTTCTTGGTCACAAGGGCACATTGCTGGCTCAAGCTCATCCTGCTGTCCACTAACACCCCCAGGTCCTTTCCAGCCACTCGTCCCCAAGCCTGTAGCGCTGCATGGGGTTATTGCGACCAAAGTGCAGGACCCAGCACTTGGCCTTGTTGAAGCTCATACAGTTGGCCTCAGCCCGTTGATTCAGCCTGTCCAGGTCCCTCTGCAGAGCCTTCCTACCCTCAGGCAGATCAGCACTCCCTCCCAACTCAGTGTCATCTGCAAACTTGCTGAGGAAGCACTCAATCCCCTCATCCAGATCATTGATCAAGATGTTAAAATCTCTCATTAGTTATTACCCATCCAACATTCTCTAAGGATTTTCAGAATTTTCACTGGTCATAATACCTAAGATGGCTAAAAATTTCTCAACATGTACTTTTACAAGAGGAGAAAATTAATCATGAACCAGAGGTGGCTGTTTTTCTTCACTGCTAGTAAAGGGAGACCAGGCAACTAAATTATGTTAGAAGCCTAACACTTAGCTAGCTAACGATATGATATGAGTCCTATTTCTTTTATCTTTTTGAGGTACAATATGTTCCATTCCTATGGCCATTAAGAATGTGAGGTTTTGGCACATTTTTTACTTGTTTTCATAACTTTCTCCTTTTTTTTTAAAGCCTTAACACTCCAACTTTGAGGTCATCCTCTGCTGCCAAGACAACAAATTGTTTGACTTTGGTTTTGTATCATGGCTGAGTCCGACAGAGCTACAAAAACTGAGATTCTTGGGGTTCAAGGAAATAGGAAAGCAAAAATATGGAATGAAATAGAAGGATATTGTAGCGTAACATAGCATAGCATAGCATAGCATAGCATAGCACAGCATAATAGAAGAAAAGAATAATGGAGTAACAGAGTAATAGAATAATAGGGTAATAGATTAATAAAGTTATAGAACTGAAAAGGCACAACATGTTGCAAAAAACATAGAAAAAAACCCCCCAACAACATGAAAATAAACAGTGAGACTTAAAGTGGCTGCTGTGTACTTTGCAATGTTAACATCATAGCAAATGCAAAAAATGCAACAAACACCTGAATAGGAAGAATAACACTGCACACTGAGCACAGCAGCTACAAGCAGGGGCAAGGAGAAGGATGAGCAACAAAAATGAACTATTATCCCTCATCCTGTCGCTATATTCCCTTGTAAAAAGTCCCTTATCCACTTCTCACTATCAGAGCAAGAATTTCTCTCCATTAAACCCAATCCTTCTCAACCTCAAAGCCAAACCTAACAGGAAGCATGGCTTCAGGATAGACAGATACAAAGAGATGTGTGGGATTTTTTTTCTTTCTCCCAAGCAGCAGTTCACCATGCCAAAATACACACAGAGCTCAACAAAGATAATTCTCAGATCTTTCAGTACAACACTCAAAATCTCTGCCAACCAATACAAGACAACACAAAGGAAACAGAAGGCTAAGAAAACATTCAGAGCTCTTCCTTACAGAAGCAGCCAAATAAACCATTGCTTTGCAGAGAGAAACACAAACCTGGATTTTCAGAAACACAGCGGTGCCTTAAAGAAATTCCCATGCAGGTGCCTACATCTGTTGGCGATACTCGGAAGGCCGCTGGTACCTTTGGTCCCTGTCAGCCACTCCAATCCCGACCATAAAACTCACCCTTTTATTTTCAAAGGTTGCCTATTAACCTTTGCAATGCAGTACAGTGAGAGTGAAAGAAAATAAAAGTGGGTGAGGCTGGAGATTTATACTATTTGTAGTCAAATATTCTACAAGAAGTAAAAAGAGCCCTTAGACAATTTCAGACAGCAGAAGCTTTCTACAATGCTGTGGAAAATGAACCACAAGAAACTACTAGTTAATCTGAAAGCATAATAATCACTGGAAGAAGGAATTACTATTATTTATTGGGTTGTAAAAATGGCATTGTTTTACAATCCTAGTAGTTACCTGATGTTTGTCTTAGCCCTGCTCCAAAGTGCTTCTGCAGAAGCAGGTTTAAAAGACCTGGAGGCAAATCAGGGTGGTTGACTGTCTCCCATCCTGAATTACTTTTAATAGAGGGGAGAACCAGGGTGAGATAGAAGGAGAAAAGGAGACGGTAGGTTTTGCTAGGTGACAATGTGAGCTTGGCATTGGATGTTTTGGAGAAGGTCTCTTTGAGGAGAATAAAAATCTTCCTATTTGTGAGCTTGTATCTATGTCCTCACTTGGTTTGACATTAGAAGATAAATTATGTGCCCTTCTCAAACTGACAGCATTCTCTCTGTATGTATAATTTGATGTTAAATATTTTGCAAAAAACCTCCCCCCTCTGGAAATCTTGCATTAATCTAAGGCTATGTCTATGAACAAAAATAGTATTTTGAAAAAAAAATCCTTTCAGTGAAAATATGCACGCGCTGCAGAGGAGGCGTTTTAGCACATGAAGAGGCATGGGGGAGGGAAGTCAAACAAAATAAACTCATGCTATCAAAGAGAATAAACTCATGCTGGAGTATTCATTGCAGAACACTCCATGAAAAGACAGAGTCACCCCACCAGAGGGAGCTGCAACATCGGCCGAGCTGCATTGAGTTTGGTGCAAGCCCAAGAGCAAGCTCTGCTTCTGCCAATACTTCTGCATTTTGTGGATTTGGGAGCTAAGAAGACCCTCGCTTTCCTTCTACAGGTCATAGGAAGCTTTCAGATTATCTCTGACAAATTTTCCCTAGAGATGCGTAGTTTCTTTTATTAACTGTTCACTTTCTTCCCCCAGTCACTACAACTGCACATACCTGATGACCAAGACAGTAAACATTATTATCTATAAAGCATTAATTTTGTATAGTGTCAGTTATTCTGTGACCAAATGTGCTTTTGGAATTATGTTACCTGCCCCAGAAAAGACCCTAGTACCAACAATTATGGCACCATTAAGTGTCTCACCATGAAGAGGTAGGACAAGAGGAAATGGCCTTAAGTTGTACCAGGGGAGGTCTAGGTTGGACTTTAGAAGAAACTTTTTCGCTGAGAGGGTGATTAAATACTGGAATAGGCTTACCAGGGAGGTGGCTGAATCACCATCCCTGGAGGTATTCAAAAGTTGCATTGACATGGTACTAAGGGACATGGTTTATCTTCAGATCTGGTAAAGTTAGGTTATGTTGGACTTGATGGTCTCGAAGGTCTTTTCCAAACGAACAATTCTATCATTCTATGATTCTATGACTATTTTTTTTAATGCTGCGAAACACATACATGTGTAAATACGCTAAAAAGGGAAGTTAGAAAAATGAGCTGTACCTGGATATCTGTCAAAATACCTGGAGATGATGGACAGTGAAGTGAAGGTGCAGAGCTTTAACACCTCCAAGGCTCTGATCCAACATGTTTTGGAGCTTGTGCCTGTAGCAACTCATCCCTGGGTTTTTGCCTTGGTACTTTCAGGTTGTGGTGGCCTAACAGCATGCAAAATCCGATCATACAAAGACCTTCCTGCTCTTCAGCTGGAAGAAACTCTTTGGCTTCTTTTCAGTACAAAACTTCTGTGTGAAGGACTCCTGTCATTCTGCATACAAGACAGTCTAATCACAGATTGCCTTTTACATAGAAAAGGGCCAG